ATTGGTCCAGGACTAAACTTGGTCATGTGCTGCAAGTTTAAGGACTGCCCAATCCACTTTTGCAAATACAAGGACTAAACCATCACAATCACATGCTATGCAAGTACAAGGACCTGGGGTGCTATTACCTTCAGATAATGTGTACATGACGGTAGGGGATAGCTGAGCCATCTGTCCGACCATGGTGTGCCGCCGTGCACTCAACCTTGCCAGGCGCGACCCTGGTGTTAGCAAGTCCATTCTGGAAACCTCGTCACACCTCTCAACCTCTGTCCACCGCCCAAACCCCAACCTTCCCCTCTATAGTAGGTACCGCGGTTGCTCTCGATCTGCACCGGCGGCTACCAGATGGAAGATCCTGGGCTTGAGTTCTTGCTCGATGCCGTACACTCCCCAACGACCTCATTGTCTGGGTTGAATTGGGCCAGATTGCCAACCGTACGATCTCAACCATATAGTTGGCTCTACACCTATCTATACCCCTTCATCGCTTCGTAAAGGTTTGACCACTTTGAAATATGTTACCCTAAATTTGAGAAAGGCCCCCTCACATTTTCCCCACACCAAATCAAAGATTTCTTTAGAGATTCTTGAGAGATTTGCGAGAGAGATCACCCAAACATAGATCTGCTCCTCTCTCTTTTGACTAAAGCAATTTGTGATTTGAGAAACTTCTGAGCATTTCCCCTTTGTTCTTGCTCCTATTGGAGGTTGGAGACTCCTAGGCGGTAGGTGTCTTCGATGAGGAATCAACTTATGATTTACCGCCAACAAGTTTGTCAAGGTTTGGAGCACTAAACTAATGACATGTCTGTGATGATACGTGTATGTTATAAAATATTTTTTTCATCCCTGTACATCCATGACGTTTTTATGACAGAATCAAGATAGTCATACTTTTTCCTTGTGCTCTCCATGTTTTCTAAAAAGGACAAAAATAAGTTGTTATATAATCCTTTATGTCTTACCAAAGTAATGATCACACTAAAAGACTATATGGTGGTTAAATTCAAATATCAAATTATGCAACATCTAGAAGACATCGCGTGTGCAGACAAAAGTCTCGTGTGGACTAGTGATAAGGAACTCCCATGAAGGATCACAACTATATGGTCCAACACACAGAAAAACGGTTTCCTTCTGCCACAACCATGTGAAGAATGTTTACCTTCAAACTGCTCTGTTGTACCATGGTGAGGGCAAAGTCAAGGATTGCAATCAAGAGCAATTGGGACGGGCCGACAAGAAAGCAAGGGTTTGGCTGCGACCTCGGGACTGGGCAGCAAGAAGATGATTATGTGGATCCAATTGGCTTTGAATCGGTCTCGGCAACAATGGTTCGAGAGCGAGAAAACCAGCATTGTTGCAAGTAATGCTGAGAGAAGATTAGGAAGACATCTAGGTCTGCTAGACTGTGACCTAGAGGAGTAAATGAATCACATTTGAGGTGGAGACTCCTCACGAAGGGTTGATGTCTAGACTTCTGCTACGACCTGGAGTAAATTCAGTTGGTAAAAGTATTAATACCTTGATCTAGGGGTGCTGTTAAACTTTTCAATAAAATTAACGGTTGGATATTTTTATTTTTATGAGATTTTCTATATTTTTTGGTTAACCCGGCATTTACTTTTGGTATATAATATATTTATCATCTAAAAAGTCTACATAAGAGTATTTTCCTTGCAAGAATGAAGTGAACAAAAACACACACGTGGTGTTTAGGATACGCTGCTGTCTAACGACTATACAAGAATGAAAGTAACGAGAACGGATGTTTGGCTCTCGGCCTCCATGGAGGCCTTCTTTTTGAAAATTTCAAAATTGAAACTTCCTGGTTTCAAAAAATTCTGAAAAAATTATGCAAGTAAATAAAGATGTTATATATGTGTGTGTAAAATTTCAGGATGAAATCCGTTGAAATGCGACCTGTACAAAAAAGATAAATTCATGGCATGAGAGGATGAATAGTATAATGTGTTAAAAAGTTTCAGATTTTTCTTTTTTGCACAGCTCTCATTTTAATGTATTTTGCTCTGAGAATTTACACACACGTGTGGTATGCCTCCATGTATATCTGTAATTTTTTTAGAATTTTTTGAAACGTAAAAAATATGAATTTTGATGAATTTTAGAATTTTCAAAACGGAGCTCCATGGAGCTCGGCCTTCAAAGGCAATATTGGTGAAAGTAATATACTTGACTATTTTGACATTCATTAGCATACGGCATTTGTACTATTCCGATTATTCTAGAGGACCTCGCTTCCTTTTCATAAGACACGTATCCAATCTCATTTGTATGCGCATGATCAAGGAGAAAAACATTTCTCCCATGCACGGGAGGTCCTGTGCATGGGAGGGCCGTTCATTTTTTCTCGAGATTCGATGTTGTGCATTAATGCTTAGTTTGTCAGATCTTTCTCTGACCACATGCAAGCCTATGCTCCATCACCCCATGCTTTGTTATTTTATTTTCATGTTTAAAACTATTTTATCTTTTAAACCAAAAGTACCATTTATGATCCGTTTGCATATTTGTGTTTATGACGAGGAGAACTTTAAAACGAGATCACTTTTGAATTTGTTTCAGCATGTTCTAAAAATAATCAAATTTTAAACAGAATGAAACACTATTAAAAGTACACAAAACTATGAGATACTTTGTCAAACACTATTAAAGTTCATAGTTTTGTTTGAATAACTCACTGTTGAATTTTTATATCAAATTAATAAATTTGTATGAAACAAGTTTGAAGCTTGGTGGTTTACTTGTAAAAATATATATTTCATAAAAATAAAATCAATATTGGTCTTGTTTTAAAGATATTGTCGGAAAAAACACAATTGCGCAAACAGAATGTAAATCAAACTTTTATTTCAACATACATTATGTATCTATTTATTTGGATGAAACTTAGTGAGTAGAATAACATGTGAATGTATGCTAGATAAAAGAGAAAACATTATAGGTGATGTTAGTGGTCCCATATAGTGATAAGCAAGAAAGTGGATGCATGCACGAAAGATCCCGTACATGGTAGAAAATCTTTTCTCCATAATCCAGACTCTGACAACCATTTCTAAACTTTGTCCATGTAGAGAGATTGACCAATGACCATGCATGCATGTATTTGCCGTGCAGAATACGTACGGTGAAGCCAAGCTGCACACTCCTATATACGGGTGCTGACAGTTGGCAAAACCAATCTCAATGCCTCTTCCCCTTCTTCCACCTCTGATCTCTCTCTCTCTCTCCGCCCGTCGAGCAGCTAGCTCCACCAAGTAGCACCAACAGGATTTAGACCACATCAGAACACTCCCTCGCTGCATCCCTCCGTCCCGGCGTCTCCTCTCATGTCGCTTCCTTTCCTTCCAGCACCAGCCTTCCAACTTCCACGACAGAGTCTCTGCCATGCTCGTGTTCCATGGCCACCATTAGCACGAACTGCTCCGCCGTTGCCGTCCAAGGCGAGCCCATGCAGAAGCCGACCAGGATCCGCAAGATACCGACACCGGGGGATACAGAGTCCACGAGGAAACGCCACAGGGAGGCGAGTGAATAGTATAAAACTACCACTTTTCGCATTAGGATTCCAAAAAACAACCGAAAATTTGTTTGTGACTGATACCTACCACTTTCGGCGTCGGCTGTCTCAAAAAACCTAAATCGCTGAGTGATTTGCAATTGATCATGATTATGACAATTGGAGCCCGCTCCTAATCAAACCGTTTGTTTGACCGTTTAGTTTGACTGTTAACTGACATGTGGGACCCACATGGCAGGGTCTCTTCCTCATATTTTAATATATATATTTTTCATTAAAAAGCAATCAGGTCCTTGTAAATATTTTATAAATGCACCTTGGTCCCTGCAAATATTTCAGAAAAGCAATCAGGTCCCTGCAAATATATTTTGAAAAGCAATCAGGCCCCTGCCATGGCTGTCTTCCAGATCGAGCTCCTCCGGCCGTGCTTGTCACTATTGCAGCCGTGCTGCAGGCGGGCCGCAGCGGGAGCATATCGGCGACCAGCTCATGTCCGTGATGCGGGAGCCGCGGGAGGAGCATCTCGGCGGCCAACTCCTGTCTCTGCTGCCACCACCCCACCGGGTGAGGGAGGAGCTCGGAGGAGCCGCACCTCAGGCCGAGGTCGCTGGCTCTCCATCCATATCCATGGGCCACGCGCAGGGATCCGGCAGTGTGGATGGCGACGGAGGCGGCCGCCGCTGCCGGGGCTCCTTGGGTGGCCGTCTGGACCGCCGCGTCCAGGAGCTCACCACCTCAGGGATGTCGTGGCCGCCGACAGGGTGGCATGCGAGGGTAGCGGGTCGCCAGGGGGTGGGCACGCAAAGAGAGGGGAAATAGTCGCCGGCGAGGTGGGCAGGCAAGGGGAGGGGAGCGGGTCGCCGGTGAGGTGGACACGCGAGGGGAGGGGACAAGGTTGCCTGCGGGTCTGAAGAGAAGGGAGAGAGAGTACAAGGGGAGGAGAGAAGAAAAAAAGAAGTTGACTGTGGGCCCCACATGTTAACAAACGGTTTGTTTAGAAGTGGGTCTCAATTGTCATAATCGCGATCAATTGTAAAGCATTCGGCGATTTGGGTTTTTTAAGACAACCGAAGTCAAAAGTGATAGATATTAGTCACAAACAAATTTTCGGTAGTTTTTTGAAATCTTAACACGAAAAATGGTAATTTTATGTTATTCACTCCAGGGAGGCGGACGACCTTTCTTATTGACACCGCAAGTTATCTACGTCCTCGGACCGACGGCGAGCCCGTGCAGAAGTTGAGGAGAACAACCGCCGACGACGGAAAAAAAACAAGAGAGCGAAGTCATAGGTGGAAGAAAGCGAGGGTGCTTTGAGATCCGTTTGCCAGATGTCAGCAGGAAAGCGGGTCTCACGGCGGGGGTGTACGACCCAGGTCGTATAAGATTTTCTTCCGTTCTTCTAGCCACGCCACGGCCGGCAAGTCGACGAGCTAGCCAGCTCCTCATCTTCGCCATGGACGCCGGCTCCTCATCGTCGCCGCTCCGCATTGTGATCGTCCCGTGGCTCGCATTCGGCCACCTCCTCCCGTACCTGGAACTCTCCGAGCGGCTCGCCGAGCGGGGCCACCGCGTGTCCTACGTGTCCACGCCGCGCAACGTCGCCCGCCTCCCGCTCCCGCTGCGCCCCGCGGCGGCGCCGCGCGTGGACCTCGTCGCGCTCCCGCTCCCACGCGTTGACGGCCTCCCCGACGGCGCCGAGTCCACCAACGACGTGCCCGACGACGACCGCGAACTCCACTGGAAGGCCTTCGACGGCCTCGCCGCGCCGTTCGCGGAGTTCCTGGCCACCGCGTGCGCCGACGAGACCACGCGGCCTCACTGGATCATCGCCGACTCTTTCCACCACTGGGCAGCCGCCGCTGCCCTAGAGCACCAGGTGCCATGCGCGATGCTTCTCCCGACCGCTGCGTTGATCGCCACCTTGCCTGACCTGCCGGAGGAGCACCGTCGAGCACGTGGTCTTCCCCGTTACGAGCAGGAGATGATGGACCCGGCTTACAACAACTATGGCATATCGGGTATGTCCATCATCCGGCGCTTTAACTTGACAAAAGACAGGTGCACCGTCGCGGCCATCCGGAGCTGCATCGAGTGGGAACCCGAGTCCTTCCCACTGGCGGCGACGCTCCTCGGCAAGCCGGTCGTTCCCCTCGGCCTTCTCCCGCCGTCACCCAAGGGAGCTCGCCGTGCCGCTGCCAAAGGAGCAGAGCATGCCACCGTGCGGTGGCTGGACGCGCAACCTTCCGACTCCGTTGTTTACGTCGCCCTAGGAAGCGAGGTGCCGCTGCGCGTGGAGCAGGTGCACGAACTGGCCTTCGGGCTGGAGCTCGCCGGGACGCGCTTCCTCTGGGCCCTGAGAAAGCCCAGCGGCGCCGCTGTACACGACGAGGACGGCGTGGACATGCTTCCTCCGGATTTCCAAGAGCGCACTCGCGGCCAGGGGCTGGTGACCAGGGGATGGGTTCCTCAGGTGAGAATCCTGGCGCACGCCGCCCGGCCGCCGTGGGCGGGTTCCTGACGCACTGCGGCCGGAACTCGCTGATCGAGGGCCTCATGTTCGGGCACCCGCTTGTCATGCTGCCCATCTTCAGCGACCAAGGGCCCAACGCCCGGCAAATGGAGGCGAAGAAGATGGGGTTGCAGGTGGCGAGGAATGAGGACGACGGGTCGTTTGACCGCCACAGCGTCGCGACAGCGCTCCGGGCCGTCATGGTTGACGAAGAGGCCAGGAGGGGCTTCGTGGCAGGTGCAGCGAAGATGCAGGCCGTAGTAGCCGATACGGAACTCCACGATAGGTACATCGACGAATTTGTCCAGCACCTCAGATCTTACGCCGCTTCAAGTGCAAACTGATGGCAGCTTCATTTTCAGTGCTGCCGCCTCGAACTCCACCTTCAGCTTGGCTCTTACTTCATGAAAAATAAGAAAATAATTCGTGTGTCTCATCCCTTTCTGCTTTACTACAGCTATTGTATCTTTGACCTTTAGATTTTTATATTTTCAAAAGTTAATCTTCAGAGCCGAGTTACATACAGTACTCACTCCGTTCTTCTAACTTGTTTCTGAATCACATGTATGTATGTATATGTTTGTTCGCTTATTTTAGTCTCTCTGTAGTGTATATTAAAATTGTCAAAACATCCTATAATAGTGAATGGAGGGGGTAGATTTTCGGCAGAGATGTTAGGGCATCTCCAACTTGTGACTCTAAATACACACATACATCCAGAGGTAGTGTGTCACCCAATGCGGCCCCCCAACGTAGTCCGCTTCCGCCCCCTCTCCCACAGTTGCCACACATTTATGCCGACTGATGGCGCTCCAGAGCACTAGCACTGTATTCATGCTGGCCCAGAGCGAACGTGACCTTACACGGGAGCTGGCATTGAAGCAGCACGCCTATCGGGAGCACTGCTGGCGCCGTGTCATGTTCCCCCTATTTGTTCAATGCCGTTGCGGCATGACTAGACGGGACAAAGGGACTATCTACCGCATTCAAACCGGTTGCTCCGACCGAGAAACCAACTCTGGTGCCTAACACACTGCACCACTTGTCCTGACCGGCACCTGCTATTTAAGCGTAGCCTTGCGCGACACCATCCGCACCACAAACACATCCTCCTCCAGTCCTCCTTGCACCACCTCTGCCATGACTGCGAGCTCTTGGGCAATATGGAATAGCCTCTCAACAAAGAAGAAGCGCGAGGTGGAAGGCCTTGCAGTCGGCTAGCAGGGCCGTCATGCGCAGCAGACAGAGGCAGGCCTGCCGGCGAGCTCGCCGGAGGTGAGCGACGACGACCCGACGATAGAGGACGCCTCCAATGACGAGCCGGAGCCCCTGCCCGTGCCTGTCCATGTTGGCTTGACCATGAAGCAGGCGCATGCGCACTTCGACGCCATAAAATGTGAGACTACTCTATGTTTAGTAAATATGATTTTCTTCAAAAATTTTGGACCTAATTTAGAGAGAATTCCTTATTTGGCCCTTTCTTAAATTTTACTTCCCTTTTTGACCCAAAATTTTCTGTTCTTTCCTTTTTGACACTCAAACTTTATTTTATTCCCTATGTGACACTTCCGTCAGTTTTGGCCACTAACAGTGTTAAGTCTGAACTAAAAAGACCGTTTTACCCCTAGTGTAGTTTGTGATCAGATTATTTACATACAAACACATGAATGATGTGATATGTTTTGTGGTGTTGAATAAACTAGATGATTCCTTGCACGTTACTGGGGAAATTTTCATCATGGTAGAAATTAAATTCAACAAAATTATATGATTTAAAATTCAACAATTTTATGTGGTTCAAATATTCAATAGTAATAATAGACCTAAAAATAGTAAAAACGAGGTTTCTTTGCAAGGAAAGAAAGAAAGTTCAGTATAAGCAACAATTTCACATATTATTCTTATGTACAGCAATTAGGTTTGTAGCTAATCTTGTCTGATATGCATGCATCTCTTAACTAGATAGCGTCCATTGGATACGTACCTAGGTTAATTAGAGGAAAAAACTAACCATGCTTCGTACCTAGGTTAATTAGAGGAAAAAACTAATCATGCTTGCCTGATGCGTACGTGCGCATACCAGCGATGACATGCACATACGCGTAACGGCACTGGCATGCATGCACGCGCTGTGCTCTTGCTGATGAGGCTGACGGAAGACGTCGAGCTGGAGATCCTGGCGCGCGCGCCCGACTTTGCCGACCTCTTACGGTGCGCCGCCGCTGGCCGAAGGGTGGCTGCCACTGCTACTCCCTCTTAGGAAGCGGCGCCATGGTGCGGAAGGTTCGCGGGTTTCGAGCATCGTCGATGCGTCGGGATGGCCGTCTGCAGCTTGCTCTCCGGCAGTATGTGCTCAACGACTGGAATGCATGGAGTTAATTGAAAGACACTACCACACTTCGACACGTCGTAACGAATCAGTATCAATAGTCATTTTTTTTGTCATTCAGTGCCAACTCCAAACCTAAGTGTTGCAAAATGGTCTGACAGCCGTATAATAACGTAATGACGGTGTATCTGACACTTGGACCCACCTGCCAGGTGCTGATGTGGCATTTTTGCAGAAAACCCCCTTGCTTTACAAGTAATCACGTAAAGGCACCTTACTTTGCGAGGAAACCAGAGATGATTTTTTTCGTTCGGAAGTTTTCAACATCGAGTCGGACAAATAAATAAAACGAAGGAAAATTTACGCACTAGCAGGAATCGAACCTGCGACCTCTTGTTCGGAGGCTGGTCGCGCAAGCCACCACGCCATGCGACCATGCGGTGATGTTTGAGGCGACTTTCTTTTTATGCTAGACGATGAGCGGTGGGCCGGCTGTTGGGCCCAACGAGGCCAGCACACTGAGTTACTTTTTTTTACCAGGGTGTAAATACATTTTTTTTACATAAACTTATTAGTATTCGTATAAGTGTCAAGCACCCAAATTTTATGTGTCTTCACTCAGGACGACATGCATGCACACTTATTATTTATTCTCATTATATTTTTCAAATGTGCAACTATTAAAAAAATTATATGCCCAGCACACAGTTTTTTTAGTTACTTGTATATTGATTGTATTATTTTAAACGCACAGTTACTTAAAAAACTAACAACATGTCTGAAAAATTATTTTGAGAAATGCTGAACATTTTTTTGCAATGCAAGAGTTTTTTTACACAATAATTTTCATACATGCTGAACATCTTTTTGAAATACACATTGTCAAAACAATTCATCATATATAAATGTTCACCATATAAATTAGAAAAAATTCACAACGCATTATTTAAAATGTTCATCATATCTTAAGAAAATTGTTCAACATATATTACAAAAATGTTCAATTTGTATTCAAAATATGTTCAACATACATTACCAAAAGTTCATTATATTTTAAAAATACCGTTTGTAAAGAAAAGTTCATCATGCATTACAAAGTGTTGACTATGCGCAGAAAAAGTCTTCAGCATACACTAAAAAAAGGTTCATACATATTTGAGAACATATTCATCATATATTTAAGCCTACCTTAAAAAAATGTTCAATAAGTGTGTTAAAAATCCAGTAGAAAAACCAACCCAGTGAAAGAAAACAAAAGAAAAGAAGAAAAAACTAAAAATAAGCCAAAAACAGAAAAGAAAAAAAAGCGTAAGCAAGAAATCCGGGCAACGAACGAGCCGGGCATGCGGGCTAGTAAAACACGAAACGAAAAAAATAAAGTGCTGGCCTCGCTGGGCCTAACCAGACGGCCCAGCGTTGCTGTGCTGTATAAATAAAGTGGCGCATGTCTTCTATCACCAGCGTCGCTCGGCTGTAGTGGCTAGCGCGCGAAGGCGGGGTGCATTAGGTCGCAGGTTCGGCATTTATATTATTAAGTATAGAATAAGGGTCTTTTCTGCAAAAAAACATGCCACGTCAGCACCTGGCAGGTGGGTCCGACTGTCAGATACACGGTCAATACGTTATTATACGGATGTCAGACCGTTTTGCAACACTTAGGCTTAGAGTTGGCACTGCATGGCAAAAAAAATGACTATTGGTATTGATTCGTTACGATGTGCCGAAGTGTGGTAATGCTTTGCAATTAACTGGAATGCGTCCAGTTAGAAGTGCTCGTACATACTAGTACTACTAGCTAGTAAACGTTCAAGCAAAGGATCGATTAGGGATTCAGCAAGCCAGCTCTGTATTACGGTGCGTGCATCGTCCAGAGCTTGGTTCATCCTTTTTATCGTCGTCAGTTCATGGTCGCACCTCGTCATCAAAAAGTGTATTGCGTGAGCGCGCTGACGTGCATGTGGGAGATATAGTGAGTGTGGTTGACTTCGTCGAACATCATCTAGGAGCAGCATCGACGCGCACGAGCACATGGCAAGCTCCAGCGACACAAGAGCGGTGCTACTGCTAGCGACATGACAGGTAGCACTCTCGATGCCGGAAGCAGCAATTCGGTGCCCGAGCGCATATGCTCCCGAAATCGCTGGCGTCAATTCCTCGCTCGGGATCCGAGAAAAGCGGGCTGACACTTGTGAAAGAAATCGTGGAAACAGAGGAATACGCCGATATACAGGGCGGAACAGTTGTGCTACGGTGGGCCCAGGCCGTATCGGTGGGACGGCGGGGTCGGGTGGGCTTTCTGGTCCGTGGACCAGATCGTTAGGAACGAAACTGAGCCCTGGATCAGATAAGACGCACGTCACGTTAGGGAAGAGACGGGCGAAGCGGCGGCCCCGAACGAGCTGGTTCTTTCTGAAACCCTCGTCATGCGGCCGGTTCGCCCAACCCAGGTCCCAGGGCTATCTCTTTTTTGATCTTCCACTTTGAAGGCCATTTGCGGCGGCGCCCATTGTCCCCCCGGCGAGGAAGGAAAAAAATGGAAGATTCTGGCCTGGAGTTCCTTCTAGACGCCATTGACAGGTTAGTTGATGCAGATCCGACAATGTTCTTTCTTATAATCTGAGATCTGCCATTTTTCTGTGAAAGATAGTTGACGACGGGCCATGTCGTTGTCCGTTCTGCC